TAACTTTTCACTCGGACCTCCATTTTCTATGAGGTTTTCGCCTACACGTCCATAAAGATATAATCTATAACATCCAACAAAATATTCCAGAAAATATCTTCCAAAAAAATCAGTTTTACGTATTTGACATAACATTTTCCTTAAATCCTCTAATATATTCTTAAGAAATATAAATCTAAAACTTTAACCCAATAATTAATTATACTAAACAAATAATTGGGTATATTAGAAATTGGATGTTACAAATACCTCCTCCTTTTGAGGATTTCGTCCCCGAAATCACTGTTGTGGAAACAAAGAAGGGTATTTCGCCTTCATCTCATCTTTGCGTTCCCATGTCCAATTGGACCCGTGATGATGTTTCCACTTCACTAATACCAAATCTACCTCTCTATTGCGCAATTTCACTGTCCGCTCTTTCAAGATACTTTTGGGCTCTTCGGCATATCGAAGCTTTTCATTTATCTTAACTTCCGACAATGGTACTACTTCTTCATGTTTGCCCAAACATTTTCGTAGATAGCCGACATGAAAAACATCATGTATACCCGCTAATTCTTCGGGTAGTTCTAAACGGTAAGCTTGTTTCCCAACCCGTTCAATAATCTTGAATGGACCGATAAAACGTGGACTGAGTTTACCTTGCTTTCTAAATCGGAGTACACCACGCCACGGAGAAACCTTCAGCATTACTAGATCACCGACCGAGAACTCGATCGGCCTTCTATGACGATCCGCGTAAGACTTTTGTCGATCCTGGGCCGCTTTCATTCTTTCTCTAATCACTTGAATCTTATCACTTGTAATTTGCACAAGTTCGGGACCCGTCAACACTTTCTCTCTAGTTTCCCTCCAACAAAGAGGCGTATGACACTTACGTCCGTACAAAGCCTCGAAAGGAGCCATGCCGATTGTCGAATGATAGCTGTTATTATAAGAGAACTCGATTAAGGGCAAATGAGCATCCCAGTTACCACCGAATTCTAGAACGCATGCTTGTAACATATCCTCGAGTGTCTGAATGGTACGTTCAGATTGACCATCGGTTTGAGGATGATAATTCATGCTAAACGTATGTCGTGTACCCAACTCATGTTGAAAACCAGTCCAGAAGTTAGAAGTAAATCGAGAGTCACGATCAGAGACAACTTTCACAGGCACTCTATGTCGAGCAACAACTTCGTCTACATACAACTGAGCCCAGCGATCTATGGAGTACGATTCCTGGACAGGAAGGAATAGCGCTGATTTAGTCAACCTATCAACGATAACCCATATACTATCATGCTGCCGAGAAGTCTTTGGCAGTTTGGTGACCAAATCCATAGTTAACTCCTCCCATTTCCACACGGGGACCTCAAGAGGTTGAATACTCCCATATGGCTTCTGGTGTTCTGCTTTACTTTCAGACATGTGATGCATTTTTCAACGTAACGCCCGATGTCCGTTTTCATTCCCGGCCACCAATAATCTATGCGTAAATCATGGTACATCTTAGTACTTCCTGGGTGGAYGGATAATCTTGATTTATGTGCCTCTGTCAGAATTCCTTCTCGCAAACCACCAAGCCTAGGGACCCAAATTCAGGTCTTAAAGACCTTTAGACCACGATTATCCTCAGATAACGAATTAACATAGCTTACCATTCATTCTGACTTAATATGCTCGGGCTTCAAAGCCTTAAGTTGCCACTTCTGCAAATCATCAAATAGAGTCGACCTTCCCATCCTGTGAGTGATAACATAGCACAAAGATCCACCATATGCTTTTCGACTTAATGCATYCGCCACTACATTGGCTTTACCTGGATGATAGAGTATTTCACAATCATAGTCTTTAATGAGTTCCATAGCACGTTGTTGTCGCATATTAAGTGTATGTTGGTCGAACAAATACTTCAAACTCTTATGATCAGTGTAGAGTTGACATTTGGTGCCATAAAGATAGTGTCGCCACAGCTTTAGAGCGAAGACTACAGCCGCCAACTCAAGATCATGAGTGGGGTAATTCTTTTCATATTCCTTCAACTGACGTGATGCATAAGCGATAACCTTTCCTTTATGCATCAATACACAACCAAGTCCCAATCGTGAGGCATCACTATAGACTACAAAATTCTCACTACCTTCAGGTAGGGCAAGAATTGGTGCATGCGTCAAACAATCTTTCAGAGTCTGAAATGCCTCCTCCTGGTCTTCGGTCCACACAAACATTACATCTTTACGGGTAAGATAAGTGAGAGGAACAGCAATCTTAGAGAAATCCCGAATGAAACGTCGGTAATATCCCGCTAGACCGAGAAAACTCCGAATCTCTGAGGCATTCTTGGGTTGCTGCCATTTTTGCACTGCTTCAATCTTGGCAGGATCCACGAAGATACCATCGCCGGACACAGTATGTCCCAAGAATTGTACCTGACGTAGCCAAAATTCACATTTTGAAAATTTAGCATAGAGTCGCTCTTTTCTCAATAATTCCAACATCTGTCGAAGATGTGTTGCGTGATCAGCCTCCGATTTCGAGTACACAAGGATGTCATCAATGAATACAATGACAGACTTATCGAGCATTGGACGACATACTCGATTCATTAAGTCCATAAACGCAGCTGGGGCATTGGTGAGACCGAAAGGCATCACCAGAAATTCATAATGCCCATATCTCGTACAGAAAGCAGTCTTAGGTATATCCTCCTCTCGTACCTTTAGCTGATGATAACCTGATCTGAGATCAATCTTGGAGAAGAACCTTGCACCTTGAAGTTGATCAAACAAATCATCAATACGGGGTAACGGGTACCTATTCTTAATTGTTACCTTATTCAGCTCACGATAATCGATTCACATCTAGAAAGATCCGTCTTTCTTCTTGACAAACAACACTGGAGCACCCCATGGTGAAGTGCTCGGTCGTATGAAATCTTTATCCAACAGCTCTTGTAGTTGTTTCATCATTTCTGGAGGCACTAGACGATAGGGAGTTTTCGCGATCGGTGCTGCACCCAGTATCAAGTCGATTCTAAACTCCACTTGCCTATCTGGTGGCAATCCAGGTAAGTCTTCAGGAAACACGTCCGGGTATTCACGTACTATTGGTACATTGTCCAGAGTCTTCTCCTTCATCTCCTTTGTTGGATCTAGGACATACGCTAAGAAAGACGAGTATCCTTTAGTTAAATAATGTCGAGCCTTGAGTACGGAGATTAATTTAAGATCGATCACGCGTTGTTCACCGTAGACATATAAGAATTCTCCATTTTCCATCAGAATTTGTATAATTCATCGCGAGCAAATGATTTTTGCTCGGTTCTTCATCAACCAAGCCATATCAATTACCACATCAAAGTTATGAATATCCATTGGAATCAAATCGACCATGAACTCATGGTCATCTAAGTCTAATTTACAGTCTTTATAAACTTTATCAGCTTCAAGTGTTACTCCGTTCGCAGTATCGACATTAAAAGGTTTTTCAAGCATGATTGGCACATAATCGAGGTACTGAGTTTAACAAAGTGACACAAAAGAATTCGTGGCTCCCGAGTCAAATAAAATACAAGCAGGTCTATTATTGAGAAGGAAAATACATGTTATAACGTCCGGCTCCTTCAATGCCTCTTCTGCTGTGATTTGAAAAGCCCTGGCTCGTGCCCTGGGCACCTCCTCCTTTTGGGTTGAAGTACCCACTCTCATTGGTTGTTGTACCGAGGCTTTGCTTTCAACCCTTTTTATACGGGGACAATCTTTAATATGATGCCCTAACACTCCGCAGGAAAAACATGCAAGACCTCTCTGGGGATAATTCATCCTAACGTGACCCGCTTCACCGCAACAAAAACATTTAATGACATATCTATCCGTATCACACCGGCCCTGGTGTGTCTTTCTGCACCTCCGACAGTCTCTTGGTTTGCTCGACTGTAACGTATAGGCTTGAGAAGGAGCACGAGGATTGTTCTGAGTTTGCACCCGTCTTGATGTAAATAGTCGTGATGGTTTATGTGACGGTGCCGAAAAGATCCTGTCAGTTCTTTGTCGTTTTGGTGTGGAAACGGTATCATCGGGTATCGTTAAATCATGTTCGCGGTGTCGAGCATATTCGACAGCTTTACCAAAACTCGGAATATCACGGTTCACAACGAAGTCACGGATTTCTCGTCGTAGCCCATCGACGAAATGGTCAATCTTGTCTTGGTCAGAAGTCATAAACCGTTGGGCAAACCGTGCCTTTCGGTTAAATTCAGTCTCATACTCAATCACAGTCATATTTCCCTGCTTCAAATCCATAAATTCTTTCTCAAGGCGTCTCTGAAGGTCCGTTGGGCAGTATTGCTCAAAGAATAAAGCTCGAAATTCTTTCCACGTCATATTCTCTTGGGTAAYTGGGTCAAGAGATTCGAACGTATTATCCCACCACACCAATGCTCGGTCGATGAACATCGCGGATGCGTACTTCACCTTATCATCATCGGGTACTTGAGTGATCCGAAACACCTTTTCGGTATTCTGTATCGATTGCATTGCAAGTACAGGATCTGATTGTCCTGTATATTCTGTCGCTCCACTGCTTCGAAAGGTTTTAAATGAGACTCGTTCGATTTTGGTTCGTGGCACGTCGTCATTAGTTGGACCCTTACCTCTATCATCAGGTTTTAAAGCATTATTACGTTCATGATCTTCCGTTAACCGTTTCTCAAATTCACGTTGATGTTGTTCTAACGCTATTTGAAGCTGATCTGTCATACATTTCATGAGCCTTTCGGTACGAGGGGATATCAGAGCATTCTCATTATTACTGGTGTTACCTGGAATATTTTTTCCGACATTGGGGTCCGGTGGAGTATGGCTCGCCTCGTCGTGATCCGACATCAAGCTGAAAATGTAACGTAAATATATCAATTATAATTCTAATCCCAGGTCCCCCATCCATCTTAGGTCTTTTCTATCGGTCCATATCCCGTATAATCATCACTTAGTTACTATACGATCTCAATGCTTAGGTTTAAGTCTAAATACCATTTCTGATATTCAGATCGCTTAAACCGCAGCTCTGATACCATAATTGTAACATCGGTTACGCTAATTCTTAATAAAAAGAAACTATTTATCCAATGGATTTTCCCTAAAACAATCTCCAAGCAAATACGAGATATATGTTATAAATTTCCACCAATAACAAAATAACATAGTCAGCAACCGACGATTTTCGGTACTATAAGTCGGATCCATAAAATACAAATATATCTACCCAAAAGTATTATATACCTAG